TGGTAGGCATGAGGAACTGTATTTAAAGGGCCAGAAGGTTGAGAACCACTGCCCTAAGAGAACAATATCCTAGGTAGAAGTCTTTGTCAGACGTAGGGAATACGCCTCTTTTCTCTCAGCCTCTGGCTCGCCTCTCCGTGATATTTTTTTTAAAATATGTCTTTATTTTTTAGAGAGAAACATCCATCACCTGCCTCCTGCACACCCCCACCTGGGGACAGAGCCTGCAGTGGGGGCAGGTGCCCTGTCAGCCCTCAGAGTCACCCCTGCCAGCACCTTGACCTTGGACGCCAGCCTCCAGACTGTGAAACCTCACGTTCCTGCAGCATGAGGAGCCCTGACGCCGTGCTGCCGGGGGCGTCGGCTCACCTGCTCCTTGGAGGGGCCTGGCCAGTGTTCCTGCTGGAGACGCAGCGAAGCGAAGCGAAGCCGCGGGGAGGCGGCTGATAAGGAGCATCGGGTGACAAGGCGCAGCCTGCAGGGCCCAGAGGGGAACTAGACTGCACTACCCACCCCCGTCGTTCCAGCGCTTAAGGCAGAGGCGTCCAGGTTCCTGGCCCTCAGGCCCGGGTTTTAGTCTGAATATTTCCCGGCCCAGGTGCCGCCTCAGTGGTACCCGGGGCACCCTCTGCGCTTCGCGGCTCCCAGCTCTGTGTTTGCCTCTGAGTTCATTCCTCCCTCACCCATAAAACGTGGACTCCACAGTCTCCCTGACTTGAACATGCGAAGGGTCTTGGAGTCATTGTGTCCCCCTAAGACAGCGGTTCTCAACCTGTGGGTCGCGACCCCTTTGGCGGTCGAACGCCCCTTTCACAGGGGTCGCCTGAGACCATCCTGCAGATCAGATATTTACATGACTATTCATCACAGTAGCAACATGACAGTGATGAAGTAGCAACGAAAATAATTGTATGGTTGGGTCACAACATGAGGAACTGTATTTAAAGGGCCAGAAGGTTGAGAACCACTGCCCTAAGAGAACAAGTGTTCTGACAAGGGGGCGGGGAGGGTGGGCGTGGTGTCTCTGGTCACGGGGTCCCCACTGGGGTCCCCAGCAAGGCGACCCCAATGGGAGCTCAGGCTTTCAGGGGAGTTTTTCCCCGTCTACTGATGGGGATGAAAAGCAGATCCCCGGCATCTCGTAAAGAACTGGGGCGTTTCCTCTGGGGTACGTACGCTAGAGGACCCCGACCCCCAGAGGGGAGCTGGCGGGTACTCTGGCTCACCCTCCTGTGGCCTTTCTCCCGGTCGCCCCCAGGTGGCGCTGCAGGACCACAGCCCCGGGCCGGGCCGTCCTCAGCACCAGGCTCCCCCCTTGCCCGAGCTGCCTTCCTGGCTCTCCACTACCTTCTGGAGCTTCCAAGTCATCCATCAGGCGTCCAGGGGTCCCTTCCACTGGACGTGGGAAGCGGCAGGGGGCCGAGAGCCTGGCTGTAGAATCCACAGGGCCAGCCGATCAGCCGGCCCTCCTCCTGCCCCAGTGCCCAGGGGACCGCCCTCCCTGCACCCCTCCTGTCCCCAGACACCCTAGAGCAGTGATGGCGAACCTATGACACGCGTGTCAGAGGTGACACGCAAACTCATTGTTTTGGTTGATTTTTCTTTGTTAAATGGCATTTAAATATATAAAATAAATATCAACAATATAAGTCTTTGTCTTACTATGGTGGCAAAGATCAAAAAATTTCTCTATGTGACACGGCACCAGAGTGAAGTTAGGGTTTTTCAAAATGCTGACACGCCGAGCTCAAAAGGTTCGCCATCACTGTGCGTACAGCACCACAGCCACATGCAGACACGGGCCTCATGGGGATGGGGGGCGGGGGGGGGGGGACACCTCGTGTGCCTCACACGCGCAGAAACGAGGAAAAGTAAACACAAGACAATCTTCAGAGATGGAGCCGGCCAGCCACGCAGCGAGGGCTCCGCGCCCCACACCAGATCGCTCCTTGGAGGCAGCTGTCCCCCAATCGCAATAAAGTAGAAACACCCAGAGCCGCCTGGACCCCATGGCTGCGCAGTGCTGGGGGTCAGGGCGGGCAGGCGTCGGGGTCAGGCCAGGGGTTGGCTGGGGTGGGTGGAGCCCCCGCCTCCCCAGGGCCTCAGAGATACTGCTCCTCGCCCCCTGGGCCTCTCGGCGCTTTACCGCAGCAGTCGCATCCTGGGGGCGTCGGGAGGGGGCGTCGGGGGGTGCGGGGCTGTGTGTGTCCCGTCTCAGAGCAGCCACAGCCATGGCCTCACCTCTCCCAGGCGTCTCAGGTCTCCTCCCCCCCCACCCCTTGCCCCCTCATGAAGGGCAGAGTGAGTGGCCCAGGGGTGTTCATGGGGCAAAGTTGAATCTGCCTGGACCCCTTCCCCAAAGCCCCAGAATCAGGGGTCCCTTGAACCAGAGCCAGACCCTGCGTTTTGGGGATACCAGGTGGCCACTTGGGGCTGGGTTCGCTGTCCAGTGGCACCTCGGGCCAGGACGTGTTGGTCCCCACTCCTGCCCGCTGTGTGCCGGCCTGCGTGGAGCTTAACAGGACAAGGACGCGTTCGTTCGCACGCTCAGAACCTCCCGGGGATGCTCTTTCACGCAACGGTGGCTCCGTAAGGGTGCAGTTCAGTGACATAAACTGAACTAGAGCTTCGGGGTGTTGGGGTGATGGGGAAGGGCCTTCACCTTCCCTGGAAGCCAGGACGTGGGCTCCAGGCCAGAGGCCTCCTCCCCACCCGGTCCCTCTGCCCACGCTGTGCCCCGCGGGGGCTGCACAAGGCACGAGAGCCCACAGAAGCCACGGGGGCACCAGGACACCGGTCTCCAGCCGCCCTCTGGTGCTGCCCGCGGAGACCCCGTGCCCCTGCCCACGGGGGGGGGGGGGGGGGGGGGGGGGAACAGACTGGAACGGAGCCGTCTCGGGGCCGCCGTGGCGTCCGGGCCTGGGCCCGCTGCGGTTTCCTTCCTCTCCCAGCGGCTGCTATCGGTCCTTCCCACTCATCCCCGGACCCAAACGAACCTTTGGAAACCCCGGGGGCGCGGGGGGAGAGGGGCTCCCCGAGCCAACTGCTTCTGAACGCCCGTCTCCAAAAAGGAAGGCTGCTCTTTCCTGTTTAGACATCGTGTCTGGCAAGAGGAAGTCGAGAGCAAAGCAACAATAACGATGACAGAAACCCATGATAGCGAACGGCGCTCATATCCAAGATGGCTTTTGTGGGAGGCCTGCCGGGCCGAGGGACGCAGTGTGACTGTGGGCTGCTGTGGTCGGACGACGGGCTGTGGTGGGGGGCGGGGGTGGGACCGCTTAGGGGCGCCCCTGGATGCACGAGGGGCCCTCCAGGATCAGGGAGAATGGAGAGCTTTGCCGTCGGCCCAGGTTCCAATCCCACCCCAGCTCGTGCCAACTGCTGTACTCGACTAGCCACTCAGCTCCCCTCCTTGCGGCTTCCTGGGCTCTGAGACCAGACAGTAGCTGCCCCCGATGTGCACGCACGGCCCGCACCTGGGACGTCTGGGGACCACCGTGAAGAACACCCAGGCTGAGGGTGCGAGCTCTCGCTCACCTTGCCAGGAGAATGGCGGGTCTGAAAGGGGCCCGGGGCTTGGTTCCGGCAGGAGGAGAGACCCCATCGGGGCAGCGGGTCCCAGGCCTGACTCAGTTGTCCTTGGGAGCCGATGGGCTGCTCTGGGCGAGCCCCTCGTGCCCTCAGTCCCTGCCAACGGGGTAACCTCTGCCCAGTGCACCCCCTGTCCTCACCCCCCCAACCCCACCCCTGCTGTGCTCAGTGCAGCTCGCTCCACATGCCCTAAGCGGCCTGCTAGGCAACGCGTCTGGACATACAGAGGGAAGCAGGAAAGGATCATGGGAATGGTTCCCGGACCCCATGGGAGGAGCAATCTCCCGGCTCTTAGCTCCTGAGCGTGGGCCTCTCCACGGAGTTCAAGTCCATAGGGTGCTGACGGGAAGGCCGCTGCAAGGCCAGAAGGCACCCCCTGCCTGTGAGGATCGCACGCGGGGCGGGGGTGGGGTTGGTTTGATGCTTCGTCTAGACCAGCGGTTCTCAACCTGTGGGTCGCGACCCCTTTGGCGGTCGAACGACCCTTTCACGGGGGTCGCCTAAGACCATCCTGCAGATCAGATATTTACATGACGATTCATCACAGTAGCAACATGACAGTGATGAAGTAGCCACGAAAATAATGTTATGGTTGGGTCACAGCATGAGGAACTGTATTTAAAGGGCCAGAAGGTTGAGAACCACTGGTCTCGACTGTTTGGGGGCTGCTTCAACGCCAACCTTGTTTACGGGGAGAACTGACTGGGCAGGAAACGAGGCACCGAAGAGCACGAGGCCAGGCCAGGTAAATAATGTGCCAGATCGGAGCCCGTGGATCGGCCCGCTGACTCGCGTCCCCTCCTGGGCTCTGCCGGCCCGGCTGCCTGTCCCGATGTGACTGTGTCTGATCGTCCCATGGGACCATGAGGACACGGGAACCAAGGGTAGCACCCACTGAGCCCAGCCGCGCTGGAGCCAGAAATAAACACGTGCAAAGGCTGATGGCTGAGCTCTGAGCTTGTAACACCCGGCGATGAGCTGAGAGCCTGTGAGAGCAGCTGAGCATATGAGTTCAGAGGCCTGAACCCCGCCAGGCGCGCGCTTCCCCGGTGCCGGCCACGGGGGACACGGAGCCCCCCGCCTGGCCCGTGTCCACCCACACGCTGCCCCCGTGGTGCATCGGTCCCGGCCCGTGTCCACCCACACGCTGCCCCCGTGGTGCATCGGGCCCGGCCCTGCTCCGCCCGGGGCCACGCTGTCATTCACTGCGTCCCGGGACCACAGCAAACAATCTCTTTCTAAAGAAAGAAGTGACCACGGAGACGGGGTGCGGGCGCTGGCTGCTCCGTGGCTGAGGTCACCGGGCGCTGCCCTCCCCCGGCTCCAGGTCTCCTCCGCCCCGGGGGCTCCTCTCCACCGGCCCCCCCTTCACCCCCCCGCCCCCCGCCCCGATCCAGCAGACTGACCGCTCCTTTCAGCGCACAGCACACAGCAGCCTCTCTTAAGCCAGGAAGTTTGCTCTCTGTCCGCTTCTATTTTGGGAGTTTGGACTCAGCCCTGGAATTTTGCGGGCCTGGGAGGAATTGGCCAGCCTCAGCTCTTTGCTTTGCACTGGCTGCCTCCCCACAAAACCCTGCTCCCCAGGACAGAGCCCCTGATGTGCACCCCCTCTCCGCCCCCCCGCCCCAGGCGGCTGCGGGAGAGCCCAGCGCCTGGTCCCCAGGTTGGCAGCCGGAGAGGTGAGGGAGATGAATGTGGGAGCCGAGGCCATGGCATGACCAGGGCACACCGGCCCCCAGCAGAGGCCCCGGTGCAGGGAGAGGCTAACGACTTGGCGATTTTCTGGAGCCGAAGTGTATGGTCTGTGATCGCTAACCTGAATATCTGAGAAGGTTCCCTTAAGAGACGTTAGGGCAAAATAGATGAGTAGCCCTTAGAAAGGGGCTCCTGGCTGTCAAAATAAACCCACCGTGACGATCTGGGTGTGACCAGGCACCCCGGCCAGCCTGTGGTTTGTGTTGATACTGGGAATGGGGTTTTATTCGCTGTGTTATGGCCGGCATGAGGGAGGCAGAGGAGGGGGAAGGAAGCCAGCTCAGAGCTATATGTCCGAGGACACAGTGGACAAAGAGAAAGAGCGGACGGTTCTGTGCCAACCACCCCTCTAGCTTCAGCAGGGACGATGGGGCTCCCAGGGGAGAAAAGTCTCGCTTCCACTGACCGAAAACTCACCCTCTCACCTCAGGGCTTTAGCTCCCGCAGCAGCCAAGACTTCGGCTAGACAGTAGGAAGAACTTCCCGTCACTCCCCGAACCACGGCTGTCTGGGTGACACCCATTCACCACGGCCAGACCCCGCCAACAACACCCAAGCCGTCTAATGGCAGGCCCCTCGTGACAGGGGAGCCACGAGTCAGACTTACAGGAATCGAGTCTTTCCAACAATCCCGGCTCCAGAAGGACCTGTTCCCTGCTTGGCAAGACGCACAGAATTTCAGACCTTGGAGCCGGGCTGCTCACCCTCAGCCCTGTTGGCGCTTGGGGTCAGACACTTCTTTGGCGGGGGGCCGGGGGAGGGGGCATCCTGTGCCCCATGGACCACCTGGGAATCTGCCAGGCGTAATTCATAATCAAGCGCTTTTTCAAAGTCTTTTGGCTCTGGCCCGACACCATTAAACATTCAAGTACACGTCTCCCGGCTCTGCCTGAGCTTAAGGGCCGCCTTCTCATTGCCACTGACCTCCCCAAGCAGCCTCGCTGCCGGGCGAGAACCCAGCAGACCCCTCAGGGATGCAGGGTTTTATTCTGGTCTATACATCAGCCTCTGTGAGTCTGGCTAATGGGGGTCTGCCTCCCGGGCCAGACCCGTTCTTGGTGTGCGGACAGCCAGGTGTCTGGGCAGATGAGGCCCAGAGCCAGACCGTGGGATTGTCAGAATCCCGGAGAGGAGGACCCTGTGGGTCTTTCCCACGTTCATCCCTCCTTGTCGCCCTGTAGCTCCACGAGCTGACCCCGCAGTGTCGCGATGGTGAGGAACCGCGGCCCAGCGAGCACAGACCCCAGTGGGGTGTCCGCACTGATGTGCGCACAGACCCCGGCACTCACACGCCAACGGATGGGACCGGCCTGGATAGTGTCTGGACGCTGCCCTGCAGGGGCTCCATGGGCGATTTTTTTTCTCATGAGCAAAGCACGGAGAAGTGCCTGGCTTAGAGATTTTTTTTTTTTTTTTTAAAAGCCCCGAAAGTTAATGAAAAGGAGAACATGCTCCCAATGGCTTGGAAACAGTGAGTACAAGACTATTGCATTAATCAGTCTGCCTGTTTGTACTCAATAAAAGTGCCTTTAACTCAATTACATCTAATTCTCTGTCTATTCATTCAACAGAAGGAGAGGTCTGCAATAATGAACTCGTTGAAAAAAATAAAATTTCAGCCAACGCCTGAACCAAAAGAAATGGTACATCTGGGGGCGGGGGCGATCAGGGAGTCCGCGTTGGCCGTGCTCAGAGCTGGTTCGTCCACACTCAGTGCCCCGAAATCCAGTGATGCTGCTGCAGGGACAGCAGCGGCACAAGTTTCTACCTGTGCCTCTGCGTCGGCTCACTAGCTGCCTGAGGTCGACTTAAGCCTCTGCCTGGACCTTCGTCGGGATCTCTAGGTATAAATGACTTTTTACAAAATCGTCATAAAGGAAAATTCTGTTTCTTACACAAAATCTCCAGTGCTGCTTCTTACATGTAGTGCTGTCCCCTTGTCCTTCCCCTGGGAACCCCGTCTTTCCACAGACTCCTCTGAGCCCAGGTCACACGCACACCCACCCCCCCCAACCGGTCGTTCAGTTTGTTAGAGCATCATCCTGACCCCCGGCCAGGGCACACACACAAAAAAATAGCCTCCCAGCCCGGCCAGCCTGACTCAGTGGTTGAGTGTTGACCTATGAACCAGGAGGTCACCGGTTCGATTCCCCGGTCAGGGCACAGGCCCCGGTTACAGGCTCGATCCCCTGTGTGGGGGGCATGCAGGAGGCAGCCGATCCATGATTCTCTCATCGTTGATGTTTCTATCTCTCGCCCTCTGCCTTCCTCTCTGAAATCAATAAAAATATATTAAAATTTAAAAAGTAATAATGCATCCCAGTTGTACAAAAAGTTCTATAAATGAAACCGCATTATTTCTGTAAGCCGCGTGTGACCACGGTGTGCACCTCTGAGAAGGTAGGGTTGGTGGAGGTTAGCTTCCTACGTCATGTTTGCACGTTTCCAAACAAGAACTTAAGTGAATATAATTGATAAAGAATATCAGTGATGCAAGGCTGGATCTGGCATCAGCCAAGTATCTGACAGTCTCTGTCCTTCGTCCCCACCCTTTTGAGTCACACTGGGGCCTAGATCGGGTCCCCCAAATACCCCATAGTATCAACTGTCTTCCCTTCCCTTCTTTGCTGGGAGACATGCTCCCCAGGTACATCCAGGATGACACGGCCACCTCCCCCAGCACCTAACAGCAGATTCAGTTGCTCTCTCAGGACAAAGAGGGCAGGACGGTGTGGGGTCTCATGCCGGTACTTTCCCTGGCACAAGGGAAGCGCTGTCATTGTCAAAGCCCTTTCTTACCACTATTATTGCAAAAAAGACAAGGACCCTCGCTGTCACCACTTCTACTTAACGTCGTACTGTGAGGCGAGAGGAGGCGGGAAGACTTGGATCTCTAGGAATAAGCCTATGAAAGGGTGTGCAAGACCACGTGGATATACACCAGTTCCTTTGTCCATCCATCCATCCATTAGCTTACGTTGCCTCCATACCTGGGCTATTAGAAATAATGCCGTCATGAACGTGGGAGTGGAGCTTTTAAATTTTTTTTCAGGACACCCCTTTCACGTCCTTCAGATATAACCCAGAAGTAGCACTGCCTGATCGTTCTATGTTTAATTTTTTGTTATGTTTTGGAGAGAGAGAGGGGAAGGAGAGAGAGCTAGAAACATCAATGATGAGAGAGAATCATGGATCGGCTGCCTCCTGCATGCCCCCCCACTGGGGATCAAGCCTGCAACCTGGACATGTGCCCTTGACCGGAATCGAACCCGGGACCCTTCAGTCCGCAGGCCGATGCTCTATCCACTGAGCCAGACCGGCGAGGGCGGCCCTTTCGGTTCTGACATTTCAAGTTCATGACACACTGACATATTTGAACCCATGCAGGAGGCTCAGCCTGAGTCAGCTCATGCTACACCCCTCGCCTTTCTCTGCGGGATCAGCCAGGCGAGGACGGCCTCTGACCCTCAGAGCCTCAGCCACAGCCTCAAAGCCCACACCCAGCAGCAGTCCCTGCTGGTGAACTTGGAGCAGGGAACACACGATGTCTGTGACAGCGCTGACGTGAGGCGGGCAGGGCGAGGCCTGCGCTCTGGGGAAAGCCAGGGGCACAGGCCGCGGAGAGGGGAGCAGGCCGCGTGCGGGGCGCGCAGGAAACACCCGGGGCGCGTGTGCCGGGGCCACCGGGCCGGGGAGAAACGTGAGCAGCAGCCACACGGGGACTTTACTGGGTGTTGGGCTCAGCGACTGTTTTTGTTTGGGCTCTAGTCATAAATGAACCCCACTCGTCAGGGGAAAATACTTCCATTTTAGCAGATGGAGTAAACCACCTCTCAGTGTAATTATTTATAATTAAATACATTTTAATTGATTTCAGAGAGGAAGGGAGAGGGAGAGAGAATCATGGACCGGCTGCCTCCTGCACGCCCCACACTGGGGATCGAGCCCACAACCCGGGCACGTGCCCTGACCGGGAATTGAACCCTGACCTCCTGGCTCCTAGGTCGACGCTCAACCACGGAGCCATCCAGATCGGGCTTCTTTTTATTTTTTAAAAAATTGATATTGAGAGAAAGAGGGAGAGAAACATCGCTGTGTTGTCCCACTTATTCGTGCATTCACTGGTTGGTTCTTGTATGTGCCCTGACTGGGGATGGATCCCACAACCTTGGGGTTATGGGATGATGCTCTAACCACCGAGCCACCCGGCCAGGACTCCTCTCGGTTTCCAAGCTCTAACCGAGCCGTCCTCCCTCAGGCCCTGCTGCACCCACCCACCCGCCCTGTCTCTCTCTGGGAGACGCCGGGGCAGGGAGACAGGGCCCCCTCTCGGGACAGTGGGGAGGCAGGAAGCTCAACTCTGTTTGACGTGGCTGTCCTCGCCCAGCCCTGGTCCCGGCCCAGATCCTCAAAAATAGATCTGCCGGGACCCGGGGAAGGAAAGGGACAGCCGATTCGAAGTCGCGTAAACAGGTTTAAAGGGGAGCGGGAGGAAAGAGCGAGGGCGGGGACCCTCCCTTCCTCTGTCCCCCCTGTCACAAGGCCCAGCCACCGGTGACACAGGGTGGCCCTGAGCCAGGGTGAGAGGGGAAAGTTGAAGTTCTAGGAGTGACATGGGTCCTCACCAGGTGGCTCTGTCCTGTCCCTTGACTGGGAGCCTCTGCAGGGACATAGGCCACTGCCCACATCACAACTACTTTCTCTCTGTGA